CCTTTTTCAGACACAGTCTGGTATCTTAGCTTTCTCTTAGACCGAAGATTAACATGAGTCCACATACTAGACTTAAAAGTCAAGAACTTGACAGACGATATGACCAAGTATACAGACTACTGACTAGAAAATCTCAACTTCCAATTGATAACAAATTACTGATCTACAGGACAATCTTGAAACCTATTTGGACCTACCGACTTGAACTTTAGGGAACAGCCAAATTTTCTAACATCAAACGCATTCAATCCTTTCAGTCCAAAGTCCTCCGAACAATAGTCGATGCTCGTTTTATGTAACCAACAAAACTCTACTTCACATCACATCACATGATCTTAATATCACATTTGTCCTAGACATTATCTCCGATTTTTTTTTACAAATTCCATCAGAATCTTAAAAATAATTCGAATCCCTTAGCACAATCTCTATCCAGTTCCAATCAACCCTACAATTCTCCTCAAATGTTGAAGCGGCAGTGGCCCACAGACCTTTTCTAGTATTTATAGTAGTTGAATGACCAGATTCTCCACTCAAGATATGATTCTCGCTAAAGCGCTCTCGCCCAATCTCCACTGGCTTTAGCACGAGTGACGCAGTTGAGAAAGTAGCGGTAATATAATATTGAAAAAAGTAAATGTAACATATTATGGCGGGGAAGAATTTTCTTTTGTTGGTAATTATTTTGATCAGGACCTCACGGATTACACGTGGTTCACAATCACTTTGGTCAAACTTGTTCATGGAGTGCCGAATGCACCCGAGTTTAACATTCGACTCTTTTCGGCGTTTCATGAACAAGTATGATCGAAGCGATTGTGAGCCATGCGTAATATGTCGGGTTCTGATCGAAATAATTACCAAGTAACGATTGTGGAACCTTAAACAGGCTCACATTAGTTACTTTAAAACTATAAATAATAAATCTTGGTGTAGAATATCAGGTAGAAAGAAAGTAAATTTTATTCTGGGACATTTAGTCCCCTCAGAATAACTACAATGAACAAAGAAATGACAATTGTCTGGCGATTGTGAATAGTTAAATGACAATTAAAAATAAATTAATTTATTAGGTTATCTAACCTTAATATTAAAATAAAGAATCATGTAAATTTTTCTTAATATTTTTTTTTTTTTTTTTATATTTGTTTATTTAGAAATATTACATTCTGTCCCATCAAGGACATTTATAATAGTGATCAGAGAAAGCACACTCACACTCTTCTTAATATTAAAAATAAAAACACTGTAGTAAATATATAATCTTGAAATAGACATACGAATTTAAAGGTGAATACATTCGGGTGAGTTCACGTATTTGTAAAAATTAGCAATATGGCACATACATAGATATCTGCAAGACATCGGTATAATGTAACTGCCATCTCTAAAGTAAAAAACTATATTTTACATATATTCGGAAGGTTTATTACTGAGGAGATGGAAAAATAAATTATTTTTAGATGAGGTCAAGGATGAGGAATTCCGTAAAGAGGTTGGTAGGGAATTCCAAAACGAGGTAGCATGACGAAGGATTTTTTTAAAAAGGGAACAGTTCTATGAGAAGGAATAAACTAATTTGAGGATTGGGATCTCCTGTAGAACGAATGAACAGAGGAACAAGGAGTAAAGAATTCAAGAAGGTAAGAAGGTTTTTTGGTTGTAAAGGTTCGGAAAAGGAATACACCTAGGAAATATTGAAGTAGAAAAACTGGATAGAGCCACTTCAACTCGGTATAGCAACTGGAGACATGGGAGTGCCTTGGGAATCCAAGTATAAATCTAATGAAACAATTCATTAGCTTCTTTAATCTGATCTCAATACAACCAGACAGTCTAAAGTATACAAGGCTGCCATAATCGAAGTGAGGGAAAATGAGAGAGGAAACTAGGAACTGATGGATTTTAAGAGGCACAGAGTCACTAAACCTCTGGAACTGTTCGAGGGTAACAATAGACTTTCGGATAATTTGGGAAATGTGATTAATCCAGGTCAGATGTTGATCTAACATTACCCCAAGGTTTCTTACGGAGATGTGGCAACGTATGGGTATCCCGTTGAGGTAGAGTAGAGAATAATAAGAAATGAGGTTAATTAGATGCTTGGATCCGATGGGAATGACTTTGGTCTTCTCAATATTCAATTTCAGAATATTGTTCGCTGCCAAGGTACTAATACTGTCGATATCTTCTTGTAGCCTTCGGATCGCCTCAAGTATCTCGGTAGGATGGAAGGAAAGGTAGATTTGGAGATCGTCCGCATATAAATGGTGTTGTGAGCGATGAATGGAATCAGCATGGTCATTAATATAGATGGAGAAAAGAGTTGGGGAGAGCGAATACTCCTGAGGAACACCACGAGTTAGGAAGAGGGGGCTAGGAAGGAGTTTCATTGGGAATAAAATGACATAGTCCCTCCCTTTGATTATTGAGTCCTTTCTAATATTCATTCCTTATTCTCTATTCTCTATTCGTTATGTTTATTCATATTAATAATATTGCTTTTAATTGTATTGTCATGTCTTATTATTATTTAATTGTTTTTAATCCCTATTATTTAATTTGCAGGACCGAAAACTAAATCTATCACTGATGTACTTTATGCAGGCCCAATGCAATATTTAAATAAAATTTCTCTGAAGAAAACACAACTGTGTACGATTTGGGTTGGTGTATAACAGAGCTGAGCTACATCGCCTATTTCAAATAAGTGACTCTAATTAAAAATTATATTAATATTTTAAAATTCAAATATTAAGTAACCTACATTACTTAACCTTATTTGTTATTTATTTAATAATAATATTTTATTATAATTTGAAAATCATCAATGTTTTTAGTTAGATCAACATTTATTACAAAAATAGATAAATGTTGTTTAGATGTTACTTAGATAGGGTAATCGATTAGTTGATATAGGAAGTTGATTAACTAATTAATTGTTCTAAATATTTTTTCTGTTCCTAGATATAACTGAAAATCCAATTCATGTAATCAAACCTTCGAAGCTAGAAACCTGGAGTGTTTATCACTGACGATGGTAAACACCAGGCTTCTAATAGAGATATTAACGTATAAAAAAAAAAATCGTTTGCTCATATAAAAGCGAACTCAATGGACAGAAGTCAATAAAATTTACTTTACATTATTTTTTCACAAATACCCACCCTTTTAGCCAACTTCGCGCCAAATCGAATAAGCAGTTTCTAAAATATTGGCATATCAACAAAAATGCGTTTACACGAGCGTAAGCGGAAGTGTTCTCCACGTCCTCAACTTCCTTCGAATCCTTCGCTCCAACACATTTCTTTTTATTCCGGATCTTCTTATCTTCTTCCTGAGTCTATCTCTCGAGATTGCTTTTACTCGACCAGGTGTCGTGCTGTAGGAGAAGAAGCAAAGGAAGAAGAGAAGTACTTCGCGATCAGTCGTGATTGGGAACTGGAATCGCATCATATAAGTGATGTCTCTACAGAGCAGTTCTCGCATCACACGAAGGAGAACATCGCTTAACATGTGGGAAGCGGAACTGATATATGTATTATGGTGGTTGGAATTGTTATTATTTTATTTAGGGATAAATAATTTTCCTAGCTGTTTGTTAGAGATTCCCTTCTGGATCTTTTGTGACCATATATCCATTAGCAATCTAAGGATTTAGTAATAGCCTCATAACAATCACCTATACTTTAATTTACTGAAATGTTTATAATTTTAGAAGAAAAATGGACAATAAATAATAATTTTCATTGTTATTTAATTATTTGAGTCTATGATTGGCGACTACATTTAGTTATCCACTAGGATATTGAATGATTTTAATAATCCCTAGGAACGAAGGTGAGATAGATTTAATATTCAGGGCATATCTTGTCCGAACAGGATCCGTAATGACACAATATCCCGTCTTAGCAGTGACCCTGGCTGCTAAATAGTTCTCATAGCACGCTATCGTCTTCATCATGAAATAAATAAGTTTAATCTTCAATAATCTACGAAATGCGAGTTGCCGAACACTATCTGTTCCTAATTAAACATTATCTGACGCGATGACCTATAGCATCAGGAAATATATTAAAATATATAGAATATATTTAGTCTTATTACAGACCTGCAGCCAGAGCCTAAAAAGCCGAGGTATTTAAGAAAATTTTCAACATAGCAGACTGATAATACTCCTTTTTGGTATTATGAAAATACTGGTCTGTCAGCTGAGGCAAGTAGATTTAATAATGTTTTAGGGAAATTTGAACGCATAAAAATTTTAAGACAATGTTCTCTTCGGCGCGTTAAGATACAATTTTTAATAGCAGCTCATAACGAAGAGAATGAAGTTCTAAACATTTCCATTCCAAACAGCATACAAATCCGATTTTTAATTTGTTAGATATTTTAATACATACAGCGTTTTGCAAGTCAACCAATTGGAGTATTTTTTGCATATAAATTAGAATATCGCAGAAACTATAATCCGGACACCCGTATTGTAGGTAAGGTAAAGGTTTAACATTACATCTTCTTTGTAATGGGTTATTATTCAAAATTGTATCTTCTTAAAGCGTGTTGGAAAGGTGAAAAGAAGAAATACCGTCGAAAACCAAATAATGACGAGTTTTATTTAAGATATGAATTAAAATATCTCAGAAACTAAACTTGTGACTCACATGTTACATACACTTACATGTACATGCTGCAAGGGAAATGTTCTTTATTTATTTTTTTTTTTGTTATGAGCTATTATTAAAACATGTATCTCAACGCGGCGCGGTGTTAGAGAGGCGAAAAGGAATAAATAGTATCGAAAACTAACTGAAAACGAGTTTTAATGAATCTATAAATTAAAATAACCCAGAAACTAAAATTCGGACCATACTCTAAGAAAGACAATGATTCAGAATCGCATCCTAAATATCTCAAGTATAAAATATCTCTGAAATTAAATTACAATCCACACGCTGTAAGCAAGGGAAATGTTCATTTTCTTTCACAAATAGTGGTTACGGACTTCGAGTGACGTTTTTCAATGAACGTTTTTTGGTGTTGCTAGGTCGAAAAATATTTGATCCCTGCCTGTTAATAATTTGACAATCTCAACCAGGGAATACTTGATAGATGCATATGTCACTGAGAAGAACACTTGAAACATCTCAATGCATAATCAAACCGATTACAACATTGTTTGCCTCTTACACGGGTAATTATTTTTGTCACAGACACGTGGAATGCATTTTTACCTAATTTACAAATTCTAGTCCATATAAAAGACCCTTTCGCTGATCTGACAAACCACACACAGCAAGATGTTGTTCTTCAAAGCAGTTCTCGCTTGTGGATTTGTCGCTGTAGTTCCGACTGTCAGTAACCAAGCTGTCCCCTCTACTTCTACATCACCAATATGGAACTCCTCTCCATCAGGATCAGGCAAGAACATACAAGACAGCTTCAATTATCCAACTAGATGGGTCAGCTCTGCAGGTAACAAGATCATCAGTGATGGAATCCAAAGAGTAGCGGATACCGGGAAAACGATTGCCAAACCAGTTATCAGCTTGGTAACCATTCCTTTCAAGATTGCAGGCGGTTTTCTCAAGGGCGTAACCAGTAAGAGTATATTTTTATTATTTTTAAATCTTTATATAATTAATAATGGAATGAGACGTCCAAAAAAAAAAATAAAATAAAAAAATAAAAATCCTGGATGTGTAATAGATAGACTGTATATTTTTCTTGAAGTATAGAAGAGTACAGTAAGCGAGGGAAATGTTCAGCATTTCGACTTTTTCATAATGAGCTATTATTTATAATTTATATTTCATAATATTAATCTCTACATGTTGATGTTTTCACTTTTTTCGTGTGGTAAAAAGTATACACCTTATTTTTTTTTTTATTATTATCTATTCGTGATATGAAGCTTTTGGTACAAGACACAAAATTCATCTGTCTTCACATTTCTAATCTGTATATATCCACTTTGGATGTCGTTCAAAAATTATTTTTAAACAAAAATGATTTTTTCTTTCCAATCATTAATAGATTGCCTGTTTTGTTAAAAATCTATATTATTGGACGAAAGAGGATTTTTCCTGTCCATTTTGGGTCGTAATATGAGTACGAAATATAATAAAATATAAAATAGTACGATAATCTATCAATGATTAGAAAACATTTTTTTTTTGAAAGAACGCCTTTCTAAGTGGATGGATTCAGATTAGAAACAGATGAATTTGGTCAAAGGCACCGAAAGTTTCATGTAATAAATAATTGATAAAAACAATTGCACTGTACTAATCGGGTATTTATTGATATTTCTGAAAAATCTATTTTATTTTATTTTTATTATGCCTTAGTTTTAATTTTACACACTTGGCATACCTTACTGAATTTATAAAATTATTTACTATTTCAACAATCTCGCAATTTATCGCCTTAAAACCCCAACGCTTCCCTACCCTGCTATGTTAACATAATTGTAATTTGTAATAAACAAAAATGTAAGGAACTTTAGATAAAGACATTTAAGCTATGTCTGATAATTTCTATGAGTATAGTCTTATAAACTGATATCCGTCTAGTATTAAAAGTCTCTTAATTTTCCACCGATATAATTTAACCGATATGGAATTTAACCAAATTATATGCAGCCATTTTAAAATTTTTTTCAAATATTCCCTCTCTTAATCAATTATATAATTAAGATTGCCCAGTTTATAGATCCTGGGATTGCCCTAGGAGGGTCTACCAGTAATTTTTTTTTTACATTGTAAATGTAGTAGGAATGAGCACTTTGATCTCTATTATAATGATAGTACTCAATTGAGATACAATGTAATATTTCTGAATAAATAAGCTAACAAAAAAGTAATAATGAGAGGGTCAATACATATGAATTTAGCGATATTTGTTGTGATCACAAACCCTAACCTGTAGCATTTATTCTAGTTCTTAACGTGGTTTGGTAGATTAGATCGAAAATAATGATTGATATATTCATCTTTCAACAGGTATTGGTAATAATAACTATGAAACAATTCCTGGAAAGAAATGGGTTGAGACCACGACAAAACCTTGGGCAGATAATTATCACAAAACTGGAGAGACTGGTACCCACAAAGGAAGCGGCTACGGAAACGGTGGCTGGAATTATCCGAGCAGTTCAGGTCACCCTGGAACCAAATTGCCGAGCAGACCAGACCAAACTGGAACCGGATGGACGAACGGTCAACACAAGGGAACTGACGTGACTGGGAATACAGTCGTAGCCATCTTACCTCCGGCCACTTCTACTTCAGGCAAGCCTTCAAACTTTATTTCAAAAAAGAAATAAAAATTGTATTTTCTTTCCAATCATAAATAGATTGCCTGTGTTGTTTAAAATCTATATTACTGGACGAAAGAGGATTTTTTCCTGTCCTTTTCGGTTCATAATATGAGTACGAAATATAATAAAATATAAAATAGTACGATAACCTATCAATGATCAGAAACAAAACACTTAAAATCGATAACAAAATGTTGGTCAGGCGATGTTGGTAGAGACGTTATTTCCTGGTATACGTACGTAAATTCAGTTTATACTTTTAGTTTTAGAGCTAGCCTGCTCATACATCTTTGATAACGAAACTAGTATTTATTAGACTTCGGATATATATATATATATATATATATATATATATATATATATATATATATATATATATATATATATATATATATAGATTATTTTTTTTCGGTTGGCTCTCCAGACCTTGTAGATCTTTTGCTGCCTGAACCAGCCTTCACTACCTCTGCCTATCTTGGGCTACTGCTTTCCAGTTTGCTGCATGAAGCTCAGCTGTATCTTTTTAGCCCATCGTTTTTCAAGTACTTGTTTTATGATGAATATCTGATCTAGCGTACTCCTTCCTCTTCTGAATCTTGTTTGATGGTCGCCTATTATGTTTTCATAATACGGATATATCTGATTTACCAGAATATTAGTCATTATTTTTCAGCCCTGTGTTCCATGCTTCTGGTATCCGTGCCTTCTCCCATATCTTCTGGATTAGATCTAACAGCTTGTCTCTGAGTTCTTCTACCCCATCCTTGAACAATTCTGATGGTAGGTTGACCATCCCCGGAGCCTATCTTCTTTTAAGCCTGTCGATAGCTATTTCCACATCCAGAATATGTGGTTTTTCAACCTCAAGTGGGTCGATGTCTTCTTCGTTTGTGGGGTGCCCTTGGTTAAGCAGCTGCTAGAAATGTTCCTTCCAGATGCTTATGATCTTTTCTTTTGATGCCGTCAATTTGCCATCATTCCCTCGCATTTGTGTATTTCTCGCTTTATATCCTACCCTTTTTTCTTGATATCTGCGAAGAATTTGCAAATATTTCCAGCCTGCCAGTTTTCCTCAATAGTTTGTAATCTTTCTTTGAGGAATTCTCTTTTGGCTGTTCTTATTTTTTTTTTTTGTCTTTGTCTTTTTCTTGTCTGTGTATTTGTCCAGCATAGCTTGATCAGTTTGCAAGCAAAGGACTTTTATTCTTTCCTCCACCGCCTTTTCGCATGCTTCTATGAACCATTTCTTGACTTTTCTTTTTTCCTGAATCCTTATTACTTCCTTAGCTGTTTGTTTTAGCCCTGACTTTAGTGCCTCATATTGTTGGTCCACCATGAGACCTTCCGACTTCAAGAGTTCGAATTTATTTTTCCAATTGGTTCCTAATTCTGTGGATTCGCTTCAGCCTCTGACAGAGTTTGATTCTAATCAGAGTATGGTCCGAATCACAGTCTGCTCCACGATAACTCCTTATGTCTTGTATGGAGCTTTGATTCCTCTTGTCTATCATCACATGGTCGATTTGGCTTTTTGCTCCTGTAGGACTTACCCAGTTATACTTAGGTATGTCCTTGTGCAGGAAAATCGTACTACTTACTACTAGACCTTTAGCTGCTGCCAGACTAATGCTTCTCACTCCATAGTCATTGCTAGTTTCGTGGAAACTTTGGCCTTCGATGACTGGCTTAAATTGGGTTTCTCGACCTATGTTGGCATTGAAGTCTCCCATGACTATTTTTATGTCATGTTTCGGAGCCTGGTCCACAACAAATCGTCCTTCACCTCATCCTCTTTTTCTTCGGTCAGTGCGTACACGTTAATAATCGTGATATTAAACCAACGACCTCTTACGCGCAGCACACTTATCCTTTCATTAACTGGAGTGAAGTTTATTACTTGACTTCCTTGCTGCAGGATCTCACTTACTAACTATATATCCAGTGCCAGCTGTCCCATTTTTGTATATAAATATATGCATATAAAAATATGTTGCACAGCGGATTGGGTTTATCTCCAGGTAATAGGGTGATCTCGGAATCAAACTAAGCCATTAGATTTTCTCTCTTAATTTATTATATAATTAAGATTTCCCACTTCATAGATCCTGGACATGTCCCAGAAGGGTCTCCCAGTAATTTTTTTCTTTCTTTGTAAATGTAGTAGGAATGAGCACTTTGATCTCTATTATAATTATAGTACTCGATTGGGATATAATGTAATATTTCTTAATAAATAAGCTAACAGAAAAGTAATAATGAGAGGATCAATACATATGAATTTATCGATATTTGTTGTCATCGCAAACCATAACATATAGCATTCATTATAGTCCTTAACTTGGTTCGCTAGATTAGATCAAAAATAATTATTGATATATTCATGTTTCAACAGGTATTGGTAATAATAACCATGAAATAATTCCTGGAAAACAATGGGTTCAGACCACGACAAAACCTTGGGCCGATAATTCTCACAAAACTGGAGAGACTGGTACCAACAAAGGAAGCGGCTACGGAAACGGTGGCTTGAATTATCCGAGCAATTCAGGCAGCACTGGAACCAAATTGCCGAGCAGTCCAGACCAAACTGGAACCGGATGGACGAACGGTCAACAAAAGGGAACTGATGTGGCTGGGAATACAGTCGTAGCCATCTTACCTCCGGCCACTTCCACTTCAGGCAAGACTTCTATCTCTGGTGAAGCGGCTTCAATCGATGAGAGGAAACAGAAATCAGATTAAGATTCTGTTCTAGGACCGTCAAAAACACAAAGGCATTTAACTTTGGATTTGACCATTAGTAATAACATAGAAAAAATGTATTTAACATAAAACATATTTAGTAGTTCAATAAAGCATACCAGTTTACCCTTCTGTTTTCCTTGATCTTCTAGAATTACATAAAACCCAAACGAATATTATGAAAATATAAAACAAAGCAATGACTTTTCAAAACAAAAGTCAATAAATCCAACTTTTCCCTAATTTGTATGAATTTTTAATTTATGATTTTTTTCGATGCATATTTACAAAGATAATTAGTGATTGGGACAGAGCTTCTTGACTTAAATAGAAATTCCACCTTCAAGACGTGAAATCTATGAAATGCTTTTCCGTTTGTTTTTTTTAATTACTGTCGTCTATGAATGAACACATTTAGTTTAAAAAGGTATTTTATTATCTTTTATAAATAAATGCTTATAAAGTAGAGCTGAAAGAGGTTCGAGATCACCACGTTTAGCAGCAGTACACGTCATAATACAGTGCACTCTGGGTGTGGCCACCACCACAGTTCCCACCACACCTCTCAGAAACTATGTTATTTAAAATTTTTAGCTAAACGTGAATCAGTCTTTTCGTATATAGGAAGTGTAGTATTACGATAGTAATCCATAAAGACGTTATAGAGACTGAGTAAAATAAAATCAGGAATCAAATGAAAATTTTAAATCAATAACCTCTGCTCCCTTGAAAAAAAGCACCCAATATATGAAATATATTGTACCCGTCTACAGTTCAAAATCCAATTCAATACACTATTCTAATTAATAAATTAATTCTATATTCTCACGGATAAAAAACAGTATTAGTTAAAAGTATTTTGGTAGAGTATTTTTACAAAAGTATTAACATAAATTTTTTTAAGATACCTAATGATTTTAAGATCCCTTTTAAGATACTAAATGTTGGCAACTACTAGGTTATCCGAAAAATAATGCAGGATTTTGAGTTTTATTTCAAATACTCCTCAATATCACAAATTGTTCACGTTTACTAAACCATTCATTTGTAGGAATGTCATCACTTATTAATCCTCTTCCAAGCGATAATGGTTTTAACCTCTATAGCATTTGGTTGCATAGAAATAAGTCAGTCTTTACGAAGATATCTTCGCGTGATTTTCGTATGACTTTGTTTTAAGAATTTAAACTCGGCCGGAATGGATCCCAGGCGAGGGTAGCATTAATGAGTGCACTGTTCAACGGTGTTTCAATATTTTTCGGGAGGGAGACTTCAGCCTTGAAGGAAGAGGAGATCATGGAAGAACTTCCTATCGTTCTTCTCTTAACGACGATGTCCTGCAGGCTTTGGTGGAAGGAAACCGCAGAACAACCGTTTTAGAACTTGCAGGGAAACTTAACGTAACCAAATTGACAGTCGATGACCATATCATGGCGATTGGAAAGGTAAAAAAAACCTGAAAGCTGGGTTAAATGCACATTGAAAAAATAAAATGACCTCCCATCCTCTATCCTGCACTGTCAATACCACCTGTATGCCGATGACATTCAAACTTACCTCTCCTTCAATCCGACAGATTTCTCTGATGCCACTCTAAAACTTCAGGAAGACATTGACACAATAAGTGCTTGGGCAAACCTCAATAGGCTCACTCTGAACGCCGAGAAGACAAAAAGCCATCTTGATCGGATCCCCCTCACTCCTGAAATCCTACCCGGTATCTTCCAATCTCCTCCTGAACAATTCGCCTATCTTATTCCACACCATCGTTAAAAACCTAGGAGTTACTTTTGATCAAACTCTATCCTGGAAACCAAACATCTCCCAAATTTCCCGTCGCACTATATCTACCCTAAAACAGTTTAATCGTCTACGATATCTCCTTCCATATAAGTCCTGCTAACTCCTAGTTTCCTCCCTTGTTTTCTCTCACTTCGACTATGGCTGTATGGTGTAAGGTTGGCGCTCGGGAGATTCCGGAGCGAAACCTAAAGGCCTATTGAATTGCACACTACGATTTTTTTTCGGAATCTCAAGGGATACGCATATTACCCAGTAGTACACTGAGTTGGGGTGGCTTTACCCATCCTATCGCCGTCAGTACTTCCTAGCTACCTTTCTGTACCAAATCGTTAGAACTCATCGACCCTCCTATTTTTTCACAGCTTACAATTCAAATACTCCATCTAGTCCCGTCCCATTAGATCTCGTACTTCCGACCTTTATCCTCCTCCTCACCGAACTGCTGCGTTTGACAAATCCTTTGCAATACAGGCCGCCTCCTTCAGGAATTCCATCCCTGCTGATATTCGACACACTCAATCAGTTTCGTCTTTCGAACCTCTCCTCTTTAAACATCTACTCCTTTCTCAATCCGACTGATTGTGAAATATACTTAAGAGAAATATCTAAGCTCCCCCAGAGACTACCTCAATTTATTTAGGTTATTTTAGTTTCTCATATATATGTACATTTTTCTTTTTCTTTTCTTTCTCTTCTTTAGAATTTTTATTTTTAGTCAACTCTTATTCTAAATATATAATCTAATTGTAACCACACAGACATACAATCTGTATTTATAATTTGTTATAAAGGATCAACAGGCCCAGAATAAAAAAAATATTTTTTCATTTCATTAATTTATCGCCAAGGAAAACCAGCGTTATGAAGTTTTTTCCACACTTCTTTGCCGAAACAAAAACAGAAAAGGATCAGTCCAGAATTGTTACTTAGGATAGAAAGTGGATACTTCACGATACGAGTAGAGGTTCTGGACCATGTCCATCCCATAGGAAAAAATCAACTTGTTTTTTCGGAGTTAACGAGACCAATAATTTTCTTCATTCAGAACAAAACTAATTAAGCTTGAATAACTACATACGAAAGTTTTATAACTACATAACTATATTGTAATAACCCAACACTCACTACATATGATCAGTGCCTTCAACATTTCGCAGCCATTATATTGTTAACAATTATTTATATTAATTTTAATTATTAAATGGAATTAAATGCAATTGATAAAAAGTAATTTATATGCTGTTCTCTAAATTTCCTCTATGATTTGGTCAAATCGAATAAGCCGTTTTCAAATTATAGGCAAATCAAATTCCAGATTTTTTAGTAGTAGATAGAATTTGATAAAATTCATGAGTATTTCATTTGCACATTGCAGTCTGATAATACTATTTTTTGGTATTATGAAATTACTGGTCTGTCAGCTGAGGCAAGTAAATTTAATAATGTTTTAGGGGTATATAAACGTATATAAATTTTATGGCAATTTTCTCTTCGTCGCGTTAAGATACAATTTTTAATAGCAGCTCATTACGAAGAGAATGAAATTCTAAACATTTCCATTCCAAACAGCATGCAAGTCCGAATTTTAGTTTGTTAGTTATTTGAATCCATACAGCGTTTTGCAAGGCAACCGATTGGAGTATTTTTTGCATATAAATTAAACGTAAAAGTTGGAAAGGTGAAAAGGAGAAATACTGTCGAAAACCAATTGATGTCGAGTTTTATTTAATATATGAATTAAAATATCTCAGAAACCAAAATTGGTACTTACATGTTACATACACTTACATGTACACACTGCAAGGGAAATGTTCATTATTTTTTTTTTGTTATGAGCGATTATTAAAACTTGTATCTCAACGCGGCGCGGTGTTAAAGAGGCGAGAAGGAAAAAATAGTGTCGAAAACTAACTGAAAACGAGTTTTAATGAATCTATGAATTAAAATAACCCAAAAACAAAAATTTCTACCTGCATAATGTAAGCAAGGAAAACATTCAGAATTTTATCCTCACTGTAATTGACTATTATTCGAAATTATATCTTATCACGACGCCGTGTTAGTGAGGGGAAAAGGGAAAAACAGTGTCGAAAACTAACTGAAGACAAGTTTCAATGAAAATATGAATTAAAATATCTCAGAAATTAAATTCGGATCTACACGCAAGGGAAATGTTCAATTCCCAAATGTATTTGGACAAGAATGTATTTATCCTACTTTGATAGCAGTATCCTTGGGTTTTTGTTATTTATCATACATTAGAATTCGTCAAACAATTAGCAATATGTTTTTCATATTTTAAATGAAAGCAACAAAACAACTTGAGTGATATATACTTAATAACATAAGAATCCATGCAGATTAAAGTCAGAAAACAGTATTACAAAAGAATAATTTTGTTTTTTCGGCTCCTAAGGACGCATTAGCAAGAACCCTCGGGCAGGGCTCAAATATTTTTCGACCTAGCATCACCAAAAAGTTTTCATTGAAAAACGTGATTCGAAGTCCGTAACCTTTATTTGTTAGACGAAATTTTAGTTAAGTGTTTTCTTGAAAATTCGTGAAAAATCTAAGACTGTAGTCCGTGGTACAGACCACTTTTCATCAAGTTGTTAACATCCGAACAAAAATTTTGTAAATATCTTCATCTCAATAAAACCTACAACTATTTTATGTACGAAAATTCTTGGCATCAGGGTGATTTCAATCGGCAAACCTTATATATTCAATTAGGTACTAAAACTCGTAAATACTGATTTGCGCTCTACTTGCATCGAAATATTGTATGAGTAGAAAATTGAGAAAAAAGGTGACCTACAAAACTATTGGGCCATTTGTCGTAAACCTCTATCTCGAAGATTTTAAAATAAGTTGGTTATATAGGTCAAATATAGGGTATTCATGAGTTTTTAGTATCTGATTAAATATACAAAGTTAGCCAATATGCAAATGAAAAACGCCCCAATTCCGAGAGTTTTCGTAAATAAAATAGTTGTAGGTTACGATGATATAAAGCAATTCACGAAGTTTCAGGCGGATGTTACAAATTTGAAAAAAAGGGTGTTATGGTCTTTAATTTAGAAAAATCGTTTCCGCAACAAACTTGCCGGATGCTCAGTGGAGACGGTAGGGTTAGCAAAAATAAATAAAAAATAAATAATCATGAGTCAATTAAATATTAATAACAATCTAACAGGCGCTACGCTATTTAATTTGTTAATTAACCTCATAATCAGTAGAACCTTCTTACTTTCTTAATAATGGCTTTCCCTAATCCCTCGTTTAGGGTTTTACAATTCCTTATTAAACATAAAACAAAACGATATAATATATACATAAAACATGGAAATAAACTGAAGAAAAAGAAGAAAATAAAACTGGCTATTATTAATACTAATGATGAATTTACTTATTTCTATTGATTTAAATAACTGTTAAAAGAAACAAAAATTATGAACAAGAAATTAGATTCATAGGAAAACAAAGAAAATACAATTAACTTCAATAACCAAGGAAAAGAATATAAAATTATAAAAGAACTATACAATATACCAATTACAAACATTTGGAAATGAAAATAAATAGAAAAAAAAACTTATATGTACATATTTACAAAATCTCAATGCCGAACTTTGTCCAATTGGCACATTGAATTATCTGAGGAAGCGAGAACTTACTCCAGCTAACGTCGTCAGTGTCTCCTCAGTCTATCTCCTCAAGCTTTGAAAATGTTCATTCACCAACTTGTAAAATCAAGCGGCACTGGTCGCTGATAATCACAGGTCCATGAATAGTAAAGAAAATCCGGTGTACACCCTAAAACTGAAGTATTTCGCACACATAAATCCTTAGCGTGCCTCAACACTCGCACTTCCGCCATCTCTCTCCTGACTGTCTTTTGTTTTTCCTTCCAATCAGCTGTTGGATATTCCAGCCGAAATTAAATGAATACTTAAAACTAAGACTTATTAAAAAGTAATACTTATTATTAAAACTAAAATACTGAGACTAGCAACTATTTTACGAACTATTTTTTTTTTTTTGTATTTCATTTTTCGTTACAAGGGGTCTGTACCAGGGAATACTAGATAGATGCATATGTCACTGAGAAGAACACTTGAAACATCTCAATGCATAATCAAACCGATTACAACATTGTTTGCCTCTTACACGGGTAATTATTTTTGTCACAGACACGTGGAATGCATTTTCACCTAATTTGCAGATTCTAGTCCATATAAAAGACTCTTTCGCTGATCTGACAAACCACACACAGCAAGATGTTGTTCTTCAAAGCTGTTCTCGCTTGTGGATTTGTCGCTGTAGTTCCGACTGTCAGTAGCCAAGCTGTCCCCTCTACTTCTACATCACCAATATGGAACTCTTTTCCATCAGGATCAGGCAGGAATATACAAGACAGCTTCAATTATCCAGCTAAATGGGCCAGCTCAGCAGGTAACAATATCATCAGCAATGGAATCCAAAGCTTGGTAACTATTCCTTTCAAGATTGCAGGCGGTTTTCTCAAGGGCGTAACCAGTAAGAATATATTTTTATTATTTTTAAATCTTTATATAATTAATAATGGAATGAGACGTCCAAAAAAAAGAAAAAAAAAAAAAAAAAATGAAAATCCTGGATGTGTAATAGATAGACGGTATATTTTTCTTGAAATATAGATGAGTACAGTAAGCGAGGGAAATGTTCAGCATTTCATCTTTTTCACAATGAGCTATTATTTATAATTTATATTTCATATTATAAATTATTGATTATTCATATTATAACTTGATGTTTTCATTTTTTTTCGTGTGGTATAAAGTACACACCTTATTTTTTTTTTATTATCTACTCGTGATATGAAGCTTTTGGTACAAGACACAAAATTCTTCTTCTAATCTGTATATATCCACTTTGGATGTCGTTCAAAAATTATTTTTAAACAAAAATGATTTTTTCTTTCCAATCATTAATAGATTGCCTGTTTTGTTAAAAATCTATATTATTGGACGAAAGAGGATTTTTCCTGTCCATTTCGGGTCGTAATATGAGTATGAAATATAATAAAATATAAAATAGTACGATAATCTATCAATGATTAGAAAAAATTTCTTTAAAGATTCCCTCTCTTAATCAATTATATAATTAAGATTGCCCACTTTATAGATCATGGGATTGCCCTAGGAGGTTCTGCCAGTAATTTTTTTTTACTTTGTAAATGTAGTAGGAATGAGCACTTTGATCTCTATTATAATGATAGTATCCAACTGAGATAAAATGTAATATTTCTGAATAAATAAGCTAACAAAAAAGTAATAATGAGAGGGTCAATACATATGAATTTATCGATATTTTTTTGTGATCACAAACCATAACCTGTAGCATTTATTCTAGTTCTTAACGTGGTTTGGTAGATTAGATCGAAAATAATGATTGATATATTCATCTTTCAACAGGTATTGGTAATAATAACTATGAAACAATTCCTGGAAAGAAATGGGTTGAGACCACGACAAAACCTTGGGCAGATAATTATCACAAAACTGGAGAGACTGGTACCAACAAAGGAAGCGGCTACGGAAACGGTGGCTGGAATTATCCGAGCAGTTCGGGTCACCCTGGAACCAAATTGCCGAGCAGACCAGACCAAACTGGAACCGGATGGACGAACGGTCAACACAAGGGAACTGACGTGACTGGGAATACAGTCGTAGCCATCTTACCTCCGGCCACTTCCGCTTCAGGCAAGACTTCAAACTTTATTTCAAAAAAGAAATAAAAATTGTATTTTCTTTCCAATCATTAATAGATTGCCTGTTTCGTTAAAAATCTATATTACTGGACGAAAGGGTATTTTTTCCTGTCCATTTCGGTTCATAATATGAGTACGAAATACAATAAAATATAAAATAGTACGATAACCTATCAATGATCAGAAACAAAACAATTAAAATCGATGGCAAAATGTTGGTTAGGCGATTTTAGTAGAGAAGGTTATTTTGTTATTTCGTGGCATACGTACGTTAATTCAGTTTATACTTTTAGTTTCTTAGCTAGCCTGTTCATACATCTACATATACTCTTTGATAACGAAACTAGTATATATATATATATATATATATATATATATATATATATATATAATGTTGCGTATCTTATTGGGTTGACCTCCAGGTAATAGGGTGATCTCGGATTCACGCTAAGCCATTAGATTTTCTATCATAATTAATTATATAATTAAGATTACCCACTTTATAGATCGTGGAGGTGCTATAGAAGGGTCTCCAGTAATTTTTTTTTAATATAGTAGGAATGTACAATTTGATCTCTATTATAATGATAGTACTCAATTGAGATACATGAAATGAAATGAAAATATTTTTTTATCATCCTGGGACGGTTATCCCTTTAGGACAAATTACAGATACAGAACAAATGCCTGTGTGGCCATACATAAAATTAATTATTTACAATTATTATTAAGATTAAGATCCTGAAAAAAAGAATAAAACAAAAAATAGAACTATTAAAGTTAAAACATACTGATATGAATAATACAAACGTGGGAAAATAAAATAGCATAAGTAAATAAAATCATTTCTGGTGGAACTTTAAAAGTTCTCTTATCTACATTTCATGATCAATCGGGTTGGGAAAGGAGTAGGTGGTTAAAAAGGAGAGATTTAAATGAGGAAACTGATTGTACATGTCGGATGTTGAGAGGGATGGTATTTCAGAAGGAGACGGCTTGGATTATAAAAGATTTGTCAAACGCTGCAGTTCGGTGGATAGAGGTCGGAGATACGAGATATAGTGAGACGGGTTCGAATGGAATATTTAAATTGTAGGTTGTGAAAAATATAGGAAGGCCGCTGAGTTCTGATTACTTGGTATAGAAAAGTAGCAAGGAAGTACAGTACATTATATTAATGTAATATTTCTGAATAAATAAGCTATCAAAAAAGTAATAATGACAGAGTCAGTACATTTGAATTTATCGATATTTGTTGTGTTTACAAATAATGACTTGTACCATTTTTCTAGTTCTTAACTTGGTTCGCTAGATTAGACCAAAATAATGATTGATATATCTTTTAACAGGTATTGGTAATAATAACCATGAAACAATTCCTGAAAAGAAATGGGTTGAGACCACGACAAAACCTTGGGCAGATAATTCTCACAAAACTGGAGAGACTGGTACCAACAAAGGAAGCGGCTACGGAAACGGTGGCTGGAATTATCCGAGCAGTTCAGGTCACCCTGGAACCAAATTGCCGAGCAGTCCAGACCAAACTGGAACCGGATGGACGAACGGTCAACAAAAGGGAACTGACGTGGCTGGGAATACAGTCGTAGCCATCTTACCTCCGGCCACTTCCACTTCAGGCAAGACTTCAAGCTCTGGTGAAGCGGCTTCAATCGATGAGAATAAACAGAAATCAGATTAAGATCCTGTTCTAGAACCGTCAAAAACACAAAGGCATTTAACTTTGGATTTGACCATTAGTAATAACATAGAAAAAATGTATTTAACATAAAACATATTTAGTAGTTCAATAAAGCATAACAGTTTACCCTTCTGTTTTCCTTGATCTTCTAGAATTACATAAAACCCAAACGAATATTATGAAAATATAAAACAAAGCAATGACTTTTCAAAACAAATGTCAATAAATCCAAGTTTTCCCTAATTTGTATGAATTTTTTATTCATGATTTTTTTTTTATTTACAAAGTTAATTAGCGTTAAGAAAAAGTTATTATGATAGATTTTCTTGACTTAAAATAGAGATTCCACCTTCAAGACATGAAATCTATGAAATTCTTCTTTTCTGTTTATTTTTCTTACTGTCGTCTATGAATGAACATATTTAGTTTAAAAAGGTATTTTATTATCTTTTATAAATAAATGTTTATAAAGTAGAGCTGAAAGAGTTTTGAGATCACCACGTTTAGCACCAGTACGCGTCATAATACAGTGCACTCTGCCCACACCCACAGTTCCCACCACACCTCTCAGAAACTATGTTATTTAAAATTTTTAGCTAAACGTGAATCAGTCTTTTCTTGTATAAAAAGTGCAGTAATTACATTATATGCATTGTTTATCACTTGAATTCTATCGCAATCCTGACTCATGCCTGTTTGCCATGATAGTAATCCATCCAGACGTTATAGAGACTGAATAAAATCAAATCACGAATAGAAATAAAATTTTTAAATCAATAACCTTCCCTCCCAAAAAATACACAATATATAAAATATATTGCAACCCTCTACAGATCACAATACTACTAGGTGTGGACACAGATATTTTTTTATACAGAAAAATGTTAAAGCTAAAGTAACAAATAATCTCTGGCCGATGACATCACGGCATCTAGAAGAAATGCAAAAAATCCTTAACAATAAATTCTATATTCTCACGGATAGAAAACAATATTAGTTAAAAGTATTTTTGTGGAGTCTTTTTGCAAAAGTATTTACATCAGTCTTTTTCAGATACCTAAGGCTTTCAATCTTTTTATGAACATGTTTGCGTTTGCCTAAATGTTCGATTTGGCTCAAATTTGGATGGAAGTGAGGGATTCTTAAACGTAAAAATAAATAGGCACCAAATTCTATCTACTACTCGAAAATGTGTTATTTGATATGCCTATAATTTGAAAACGGCTTATTCGCTTTGAACAAATCTTGGAGGAAATTTAGAGAACAGCATATAAGTTACTTATTATCAATTTCATTGAATTCGATTTATTAATTAAAAATAATATAGATAATTATTAACAATATAATGGCTGTGAAACGTTGAAAGCACTGATCATATGGATTGGGAATTAGGTTATTACAATATTGTTATGTAGTTATAAAACTTGGCTATACTCAAAAAATTAATTAATTAATTGCTTAGTCGATTCCAATCTTTACTGCCATGAAACTCAATCCTGATACTTAGATTTAGTGTAATTTTCAGTAAATTAAAGTAATTTTTACTCTGAAAAAAATGTCTTATTCGTGATTGTGTTTATTTCCGTTGAAGTTCAACCAGTTCGTCTTGGTCTCGATTTCCTCCTTAAATACCGAAGTCGAGTGAACTTCACTCATATTTTTATATTCAAGCTTAATTAGTTTTGTTCTGAAGAAAATTATTGGTCTCGTTAACTCCGACAAACAACAAGTTGAATTTTTCCTATGTTATGGACATGGTCCCTGCAAGTTCTAGAACAGTTGTTCTGCAGTTTCCTTCTACCAAAGCCTGCAGAACCTCCTCTTCCTTCAAGGCTAAAGTCTCCCTCCCAAAAAATATTGAACCACCGTTGAACAGTGCACTCATTAATGCTGCTCTCGTCTGGGATCCATTCCGGCCGACTTTAGATCCTTAAAACAACGTTATACGAAAATCACGCGAAGATATTTTCATCAAGAATGAATTATTTCTATGCACCGAAATACTACAGAGGTTAAAAACATTATCGCTTGGAAGAGGATTAATAAGTGATGACATTTCAACAAATGAATAATCCAGTAAACGTGAACAGTATGTTATATTGAGGAGTATTTGAAATTAAACTCAAAATCCAGCATTATTTTCCGGATAACTCAGTAGTTGCCTACATTTTGTATCAAGGTCTGTTTTACTTTATGAATGACAGTGGTCAGTGTGTAGGCATGTCGTTTGTCAAAGATAACGTCTTTGTCATCGCAATGGATTGCGCAGTGAGATTCGGCAGAAATAAATTCGAGAAAGAACTTCAATAATTAAAAATAATAAGTTATTTCGTTTACAAATTTATCTAAATAATCGTACAAAAAATAAAAGTATAATAGTGCTGAGATTCGAGTGGTAAATTAGCCCACACACATTCATAGATCGAACTAGTACGACGGACAAGTGAGATGGTATGAAAGTCTGCAAAGCGGACATATACTAGCAGATCGGGTAGGATGAGGTAGGATCGAGTACTAAATCAATTTTTGGTTTTAAAAATAATAAACAAAAAAATAATCTTTATCCTTATGAAATAAACTTCATAATCTTTATCAGGATAACGACCTCATTGGGAAGGACAAAAAAATAGTTCTTTGTACTCAGTACCAGATAACTAATTGTTTAATTAATAATTTTTTATCTTGGTAATATTGTTTTCTCTTTTTGGTTTATAGTGAAAATTTATAACAAAAATGAAGTTCAGTAAATCGCTTAAACTTGAAATCACTACGTTTCTTGTATGATTTTTTTCTTTTTAGAATAATCAGCTCGCTACTGAAGTCATTTATCTCACATCATCTTTGACAAGTTTTTTAAAAATAGTTGTTTCTTGATTGATATTTTAAGCCACCTCAATTAACAGAAGTATTATGCTGTAGTATTAATTTAATGTAAAGTTCAATTATTATTTTATTTCTTATAGAGTAAGTTTTTTTCAATTAGATTCACAATTCAATTGGATTCAAAGGTGTAAAAAACACAACATATACTATTAAACTATGTTTTTTGAACTCCATATGTTTTCCTGCGGTACCCAGTGGTTGTTTTTTATGTTTTTACTTTTCCTTTGGTTTATATTGAAAGTATAAAGCAACAAAAATATCCAATTCAGGAAATCGCTTAAATCCAAGTTTACTACGTCTATTGCACTTTTTTAAAAATATATCTAGTTTTTCACATTTTTTTTTTTAAATTCATCGTTTGTTGACTGACATTTTCTACTGTTTCAATTAAAAATGTTACTATCTGGTTTGTAATGATTTGATACAAAATTTAACATTGTTTCTTTTCTTAAAGAGTAGCGTTCCCAATTGATGCTCTTTTGAGGAATTAAAGGTGTAAAAAACAAAACACCTTTTATTTTTACCAACCCACATTTTTACCAACCCAATGTTTCGACCCTCAACTGTCTAGCCGGTGCAATCCAACTGATATTTGTGAAATCTTTAATAAATTAACTTAAAAAAAAAACTGTAACACTATAATCTATGAAGGCCTTCATTACTCTACTAGTAACTTGTAGTTCAGTACTATATAAGGAAATACTATTTCAAGGCAAACGGTTGTTCAGGAAAGTGATTGGCTGAGATAACGCTCTACCTCTATGTTTCACCCTTAATTAATTAATTAATTAAGTTCACCCACTTTACAGAGGCTGGGTGTGCCCAAAAAAAATAGAGTACACTTTCGTAATTTATATTTAAACCTGCCTCTAATATGAGTAATCTTTTCAGGATCACATATCAATGTTGAGGATTTAACAATATCTGACTCAAGTAGTGCAAAAAATATTAGTTAACTTTGAAACAACTTGAACGATATTGCTCACTGTGCTAGAAGATATAAAATTAAAATGAATAAAAAAAATGTATATGTAGTATTCACTCATAATCATGCCCCTTCCTCCTAAATATATTTTAATAACATTGAGATCCCTGAATCCGATGTAAATAAATATTTGGGTTTTTACCTTGACAACTTGGAGGACACACATTAGACAAAAACGTATGGAATTAAAGAGTCGATACGGTCTTTTTTCTAGGTTACTTGACAGACTTTCAAAATCGTTCTAAAAAGATTTACTTAAACCAATTTTGTCTTATGGCATAGAACTGTGGTCTTCTGCTAAAACTTCCAATATTAAAAAAATCCAGTCTTTCCGACCTAAAATTTTACGATGGATAGATGACCCACCATTTTATGTCTCATAAAGACTTCAGCATCCAAAAAATTTTAGACACTGGAAAAGAAAGCTACAATAACTTTCACCAAAGACTAACTTAAAATATAAATCCTGTGACAGAAAACCTTGAACGCTCTAGAAACCCGTACAGCCCACCTCGACGATTACGTAGGCTGTGGTCAAGAGATCTTCTTAACTGACCTATTTCCTGGATTTGTGACAGGACGCTGTGAAACTGCTAAAAAAAAATTACTCATTGCAAAGAAATTTGTGGATCGCAAATTAAATTTTATGCCCAATTTTACGTGTGTGTGTTAATAATAAAAACTTTGGTAAAATATAACATAAAAAGTTTCTTCGAAAATCGTTTAAGTGCATATAAGGTTAGATGCATCTGTGACAGAAGATAATTGTTTAAACATCTCGATGAATAATCAAAGTAATTACAGCATTGTTTGTCTCTTGCAGATAATTATTTTTGTCACAGACACGTGGTGAGTATGTTCACTTAATTTACATAATATGTTGTCCATATAAAAGACCTCATGGCTGATCAGACAAACCACACACGGTAAGATGTTGTCTTTTAAAGCTGTTCTCGCTTGTGCATTTGTGTCTGTAGTTTGAACTGCCAATACCGATACTGTCTCAACTACTACTACAACAGCAACAGCACCTATATGGCCTTTGTCCACGGCAGCATCAGACAAGAATGCACTAGACTTGGGCGATTCAGCAATTGGATTGGACAACTCCAAATAATTCCAAGATAATCAACGATCGAGTCCAAGGATTCGCTGCTCCTGGGAAGCAGATGACCAACACAGCTTTCAACCTGGGCTCTTCTTCTCTCAAGAATGGATTGGATGTGCTCAAGCAAGGAGCCGGT